ACCCAACCACAAACACCAATACCAACAAAAAAAACGAAAAAGCAAACGAAAACAAACCAAATCCAAACGCAAAACCAACCAAAAACACAAATACAAACCCAAAGAAAAAAACACAAACAAAAACGAAAAAAGAAAGAACAAAAAAGAACCAAATCAAAACGCAACCACTAACGCAAACCCACCTAAACACAAAGAAAACACTAACGCGAACATAATCGCCCGGGGCGGAATCACCTGTTTTAGCTTAATGAACGACGATAGTACCCCAACTTATTCATAGTCTTTTGCACTCACTTAAACGAACGCGCCTGTTTCAATTTGATGAACAATTTTAATACTCCAAGCTTATCCGTAAAATACCTACAACATTTGCACTTGATCAATCCCCGCTAATTATGTAATTATTTTTTTTCCCAACACCAAAACAAAGTAATTAAAAAGTAAATTATTTTCGACTAATGCAATGGTTTTATAAAGGGAAGTAATTTTGTTTTCCTAATTTATCAAAGGGAAGTAAGTGATATAGAACTAAATAAAGACATAATTAGAATTTTTGTAAAAGATGATATTTTTTTAAAACTTGTGTTTAACCATTAATGTCCCGTAACGCCCGCTGCCGCCCGACACCGTTAATGTCCCGTAACGCCCGCTGCCGCCCGCTTACAATACACATAGAAAAATTAAATTTGTTTCATTAAAATTTGGCCTACAATTCCTAATTTTTAACTAAACAGGAAGTCGGATAGTTTGAGCATCCTTTTCCGGTCTTCTAATTTCAATGGCGCTTTTGAAAGATAAAAAATATTAGTTTCTTTCCATCTCAAAATTTTAGACTCATCTGTCCTATTTTCAGTTGATTAAATATTAAAAATAAAATAAAATAATGCCTCTAAACGTATCTAGGCATGTATTTTATGAATTATATATCTTAAAGATAATCAAATTGATATTTAACTGTTAAATTCGATGCATAGTTGTTTAGACAAAAATAAATAAAGTTGACTACCGAAAATGACCTGTTTTAAATTTTCTCCGACATTTTTTATTTTTATTCTGTACTTGTACCGAATATAATATATTCTATTTAATACTGTTGGAAAGCCAGGTTTATTCCCAACATTAAGCAGTAGTTTTTATCTTAATTTTCAATTTCATTTAGACAAAAACAAATATTTTGTGAAACTATTCACTTGATCATACAGAGTTATGCTCCTTACATTGGGCCGTCATGGGTGGAGTTTTGGTAGAATGAATGGGACATTAATGGTTAATGAACATGCCGACAATTATTACTATAATTTGAAAAATGAAAATTATTTCCCAACACTTTCAATAGTAATTTTTTAGCTCATAAATTTAGACAAATGCGCACGATAATTTTCTAACACTTAAATTCATACAATTCCAACGACAAACATATGCATTACATACAGAACTGAGCTTTATATATTAGATATATATATATATATATATATAGCCTATATATGTATATATATATATATGTATATATATATAGGTATATACATATAGGTATATACATATAGGTATATACATATAGGTATATACATATAGGTATATACATATAGGTATATACATATAGGTATATACATATAGGTATATACATATAGGTATATACATATAGGTATATACATATAGGTATATACATATAGGTATATACATATAGGTATATACATATAGGTATATATATATATGTATATATATATATATATATATATATATATATATAGCCTATATATATATATATATATATATATATATATATATATATATATATATATATATATATATATATATATATTATTACACATCTCTAGACCCATTATTGTTTTAGTGTTTTCATTTCCATTTAGATCTAGATGCTATTTTTTTTAAAACTGTTTACAATAAATATAGATTTTTTCTACTTGAAAATGTCTTTATAATCTATTTATCTGCAATTCGTTAATGCTAGTTTGCTAGATCTAGTTAACCTGGTATTAAGAAGGTTAATAAAAATCTGGCTAATTTAAAATTTTATAATTTATTTAGGCAGCAATTAGGCCTAATTACATTCTTTCCATTTTTAATCTAATAATTTAGATCTACAGTACAGGCCTATTTATTTTAAAGCCCATTTTATTGTAACAGTCCAATTAAAAACAAACAGCTATTAACCCATATTATCCCAAGGTCTCAAATTTTTATAATTTTTTGATATGGTTTAGCTTTTGGGCACTGAATGAAGGAATGACTATGGATTTTTTTTTAAAATCAATACTTTTTTAAATATCGATTTTTTAAAAAACGTCCCATAAATGGGACGCTAGCAACGAACGGCCCCATGTACATTTATTGAAAAATAAAATCATTTTTCACGAAATATGGTTAATCACGCGAAAATTAAGCTGTGTACTGATTTTGTATTGTTAGACCAATGATTTAATTGTTTAGGACAGCTAAAAATACTGATAATGATCAATTGGGTTAGCCATACCATGGTCTAAAATGCAGAAATTATGTTCAAAAGTCTAGTTTTCTTTCAATCTAGCATCCATCAAAGTGAACAACACTTGGAAATAAGTAAAGCTGTGACTAGTACATCTAATTATACACACATGATCACAAATATTGTTATTATTCATCGAAACTGTAATATAATTAAATATAAATAATTGATTTTTTTGGGGGGTGTACTTGAAATTTTCAGGGGTGGGTACTTAAATTTCAGGGGAAGGGTGGACATTGTAAAAGTATGTTTTGTATATAAATTCCAATTTCTTCTGGGGGCAGAGCCCCCCCCCCCCTCCTCCTCCGAAATGATGCCTGAAAGAAACTCTGCCCTTAGTGAAAAAAGAGTGCAAAAGATGTTCCGGTCCAGTCCCAGATGTCATCCAGCCATCTTCTCTTTTGTTACCCTCGCTATCCCCCCCCCCCCCCCACAGGCGTACATTAGGACATCAGACATCTTATTTCTAGGGCACGGATCCGTCTCTGGGGGCTTGTATTGAGTGTTCATGGCTCTCATCCATGTATGCACCTCACTATGCGAACAGCTCCAAATCTAACACCAGGAATCTCCTTAAAAAGTTAACAAAGTAAAGCTGGTATCGGTAACCTTTGGAGGGGGATATTATTGGGGCATGACAACTGTACACAGCTAATTCACATTTCTGCTATATGTAGCAAGCCCTCTTATATGAAGAGAGTTAACCAACCCCCATGACTGAATCATTTCACCTAAATCGTGGCCATTGTTATTATTCTGGTTTGTTATAGTTTTAATATCACGCGCTAGTAAATTTACAGCAATACTAAATTAGTTTGTATTCAATGGTATTAAATACTTCAGTAAGTGTAATTGTGAAAACTTAAAAATAAAATGTAATTTTTTCAATATTTGCAATTTTCTAATACAATAATATATAAGAAAATATAGCTCAAGGTCATAATTAAATATCTATAAATACTACTTAACACCCCAAAGTCAGCAGTTAACAAAGTCAACAATTGTTTCACAATAAATAACCATTTAACATAAATATTTGCATCTGTGTTTCACGCTAGTGTCCAATAAATGTGACGTTTGTGTAACAATCTGTATAAATATAGGTCAAGGTCATAATTAAATATCTATACATACTACTTAACACCCCAAATTCAGCAGTTAACAAAGTCAACAATTGTTTCACCATAAATAACCATTTAACATAAACATTTGCATCTTTGTTTCTCGCTAGTGTCCAATAAATGTGACGTTTGTGTAACAATCTACATGGGGCCTTTCGTTGCTAGCGTACCACTTATGGGACGCTTGTTGTACACTTGATATAACGAAGTAGTAAAAAAAAATTGTTATTTTTAAATTTTTTTCAGATAGAAATATGGTACTGCTACAAGTTTCAAATGTATTTTGCACTTAAAATGTTAATATTTTAGAAGATATGCATTATCCTGTGCGCATGTTTTCTTTTTTCCGCCATTTTGACAAGTCCTGCAAATCCGGCACTATAACATTTTTCTAAATTACTTTTTTTCACAAAACACACACAAATTCAATAGTTTAGCCATTTTCAAATACAATGAAACATAATTTGTGTTTTAACTAGTATTTAATAAATTTTAGCAATTTTTTTACCAAGCGTCCCATAAGTGGGACGCTAGCAGAATATGGGTTAAAAAACATCGTATGCGCATATCTATTAATATCTCGTAACCCGGCCGCCATTATGAAATTACGCACGCTTTCTCGTTCCTACCCCTACGAGTTTTATCGCGCTACTCCTCATTGGCCCGTGCTTAAAAACCCTTCAAATCGACATTTCTATTTATCCAAATGGTTAACATGCTATTTAAGCCTATTTTCATACAATTTAGAGGATTATTTATATCTGAAATTTAGTTGTCAATGCGCCAGTTCGGTAGCGTCGGCATTTCGACAAATATTTGCTATTATCGGTGATCACTTTCTGTATCGGACAATGTAAAACGGGAGCTAATTCATTTATTAGTATGTATAAAAGATGAAATTCAACTCAAATATTCATATCGAATACATTTTATTCTTCGATTCCGATGGCGAGAATTAACATGTTAAAAAATGGCGAATTTCAACAAGTACGATGAAAAAGTCAGGATGTGGTCGTACCGAATAGAAACAGCGGAAGTCGAAATGCCTACTGGTATAAGCAATTAACCGAAATAATTATTAAAATTTAAGGAGTCACCTGTTTTTCACATTACTAGTCGCGGGCGATTTTACGTACCCAAAACGATAGATTACCGAAAATCTTCGAGTAGGCTAGTCACTTCAATTAATAAATCCTCCTCAAAATGTGAAATAATTATTAGGCCCCTAATTATTAAAATTTAAGGAATCACCTGTTTTTCACATAACTTGTCGCGGGCGATTTTACTTACCTAAAGCGTTAGATTACCTTCTCTAAATCTAGATCTCTAGATCTAATATTAAAGTTAAGTTATTAAACTAAAACTTCACTTACGCAGCCTCTCGAAGCCGAGATTTCGCTAAAACGTCAATCAAAACAAATGTGAGGAATTCGGATCCAATATATTGAAAAAATATATATAACAAATTAAAAACAGCCATTTTCAACAATATCATAAAATAACACAATAAGCTCTTCGAAAACTGATACTGGTAACAGTAAATAATAATGTTTTAGCATTTTTTGTACATCAAACTTTTTGAATTTAGTTCAAAATGGCGGCTAAACAAAATAACAATTTAGGTCGAAATATTGCCAGTTAGTCGTGCCAGATTTTTAAACCTGAATCTAAGCTAAAACGATTTTTAAGAGTTCTGCTTAAATTCTGATAACTAAACCGTTTTAAGGAGCCTTAAAAATTACACTTAACATGCTTTAAATAAAAACACTTATAAATATATTTATATAATATAGTTGCGCATTCTCTGTGTGCTCATTTTTCCCTTTTTGCGTATATTTCCGTTAATCAGTTGATTGGGAACCGATCCAACTTCATTTCGTTACAAAGAAAGCGTGATCGCATGATCGCATCAGTTTATGGAAATACTAGCTGCATACCCGTGCTCCACCACGGTGAGTCTTTTTTAAATGTATCAACTTGGCCACAGAACAAAGCCAAACACAAACGGAAACACAAAAACACAAAAAAACGCAAACACAAGCACCAAAGAAAACACAAACGCAAATAACATGGTAACGCAACACGCAAACACAAAAACAAAAGAAAAAACAAACACAATGCAACACAGTTTCAAACGCAAAAAAAGGCAAAAGCTAACGCAACACACAAACGCAAACATAAACACAACGCAACACAAGCTCAAACACACACAAAACGAAAACGCAACACACAATTCACTCTCCAAACTGTTTTTGAAATCTTTACAAAAGCTGACGATTAGGAGTAGACTAACCCACCCCTCCTAGTAACTAAGGTCACTGATATCTAAACTTGTATGAACTCACCGTGCCCCCAAATACGTAGTTCAGTGGTTCCCAACCTTTTTCGAGTGGCGACCCCCTTTTATAAAAAGTAAGTGACCCGCGACCCCCATAGAATTAAAAAGCCGAAATTAGTATGGAAATTAATAAGCACTAACATAAGATTTTCTAGTACACTTTCAATATGAACTACTCTTGATAACTGTTTTAATAGCATGAGTTAAATTGCATACTATTCACTAAACCTTCGTGGTTAAGTTTTTAATTTTTAAAAAATTTTGTTAACGCCAACCTATGTCATAATAATTATCTTAATTTTTTTTAATCGAAGAATAGTGTTGAAAATATATTCTCGAAAAGGCAATCAATTTTACGTTTGGGTATGAATGGTGAATACTACACCAAAATTGTGTCTGCAGTTTTTCATCTTACTCGGAATCATTCTGCAAATCAAAGAATAACTTGTAATTAATCGGGAATGCTGGCAACATCAAGGGAAGAAGAGAATGGCTAATGCGTAAATGCAGATTCTTCTTTTTTCAGCTCAGAGAAATAGCGATGCAGTTCGTTTTCAAGAGATTCAAGATGCCCAGAAATCGCTTCTTTCAAAATTTTAATTATCATCTCACAATCAGATTCATCTACCACACTGCAGAGTTTCTCAAATTTACAATATTTCCAAGATTTATTTTCTTTACCGATTTGCAGCTTTGATAAAAATGCCCCGAGATTATCATGGAAAGTTATAATATTCGTTCATTTTCCCTGAAGCTTCAGGTTAAGCTTATCTTGATGTTCGAACACATCTGCTAGGTATGATACTCTCTCCAACCACTCTATGTCGTTTTAAGTATACCAAAAAATCTTGTTTCCTTTGCACTTTCAAGAACAATTTGATTTCAGATTTCAATTCAAAAACACAATTTACAACATTTCGTTTGGCAGCCAGCGTACTGTAGTGTAGAAGAGCAGAACCTCGTGATCTACATTAATGTTTTTGCTCAGGTCTTTTAAGGCTCAAGATTTTATATAATTTACGACTTATACTAGCAATGGACTCTTGATGTCGATTGGTTAGGGCAGTGGTAAGGGAGCTAAATCTTTTCTGTTTTCTGAAAGCCCGATTTTGAGCTAAACATAAATTGCGCACCATCCGTACAAATACCCCACAGCCGTTCTAACCCATTTTAATCATCCAGTTTCAAAAAAGGTATTTATTTTCTCCAGGTTATCTTCACAAAAGAGCAACTCTTCTTTGCTATCATCCGCATGAATATAGACACAGACCAGCAACTGCGAACACGAACTCACGTCTGTTGATTTATCAACTTGAAAAGCAAACAATGTGTTATTTAACATTTACGTACATGCAGCGTTTGATGAGATTTTCTCCTATTGTTTTTTTTTTTTGCTTGGCATTTTCTATCGCGAATTCATTTGATGCTTGCACTAATGCTGGTGAAAACTTCCTGTTCGATCAAGTCTCTGGCGTTTGCTACTAGCTTCTTAACGATGAAAGAACTCAATATATTTTTTGGTATGTTCTGAATGACTTCTAAATATTTATGTTTTGTTTCAAATTACTAAGGTTTAGTATACCAGTTGGCGACCCCCCAGAAAGACCTTCGCGACCCCCCTGGGAGTCGCGACCCCCAGGTTGGGAACCCGTGACGTAGTTAGTTCTGTTTGGCTGGGGAGGAGGAATAAAAGTTACGATACAGTTCATGCTATGACTTACAAGACTGGACTACTGTGAGCTCACAGTGACCTCTCTATCGTCTCTTGTTGTATGTGTAAAGGGGGGGGGGGGTACCGGTAGTTCTTAAGAGCAGACAAATAATGGTGTGGTTACAAAGATCTCAGCTAGCTAGATCTATATTTAATTAATTAAAGGTCGCAAATCCGCTGCAAGCCAAAAACATTAATCAAATTATTACACTTGACTATTATTTATGTTTATATATATTTTTAAATTTTTTTTAGTTCTACTAATTTAATCTATATTATATTTATTTCTGTTTCCTTTTGTCGATTAAACTTAAAAAATGTAAACATGATTTTACTACAGTCGACTTTCTTTTTACTTATATTTCAATGGTCAAACAAACAATGGTTTACCCTAACTTTTAGTTAACAAAACTCAAAAAACATTACACGATAATTTCCTACGCTAAACTAAGGTTTTACCGGTAGTCTGCGTAAAATAAGCAGAGACACATTTTTACTTTCTCGTATATGCAGCAGTGAGGAAGTAGGGTCTATTGTAATCATGCAAAAACAATTTGTCCGTATGTCTGTATGTATGTGTGTGAGTGTATGTGCGTCTGTGAACATGATAACTTAGGTACCATTACAGCTAGGACAGGGGTCGGCAACCTGCCTGCCGCTCTTTTGATGTCGAGATGCGGCTCTTTAGCTCCATGCACAAATATTAATAATTATTTTATTTTATTTTCAAAACTCATAAAAATCTTGTTCTGCAACACTCTGACGTTCATAGTAGATTCTCTCAACACAAAAACAAATGAGATTAACTTTGAGCTATTTGGAATGGATGCTGGTCAGAGTTTCTTCCAGGCATCTCTTCGCCCCCCCCCCCCCCGAACGAAATGAAATTTATATAATTTATACAGTGCCCCCCCCCCCCCCGGAGAAAAAAGTCTGGAAGAAACACTGATGCTGGTTCGCTTCAAATTAAATTGATAGATTTGAAACCCAAACATTTGTGGAGCGATAAGTTCACGGATCTCAAGAGCAAGTTAGATGGTTTGGAGGGAACATGCACGTTTCGCTGTACAACTGGACAGCTTTAAAAGAAATGCCTCGAGTTGAGGCCCTTATGTGACGAGTGGAATAGTCTTGCAGGATGCTCCAGTAAGGTAAAGAAGTTGGCTTTTGGAGCATATTTAAAGCTATATATATATATATATATATATATATATATATATATATATATATATATATATATATATATATATAATCCTAATCAAATATCATATATTAAAATAAAAATGTTAGTGGCTCTTTAAAAACTGGGTTATTTGGTCAACAGAACTTTTGGCTCTTCCGTCCCAAAAGGTTGCCGACCCCTGAACTAGGCTGATGAAATTTCAAATATAAGTATCAGCTGCATACACGTGCTCCGCCACGGTGTTTTTTTTAAAAAATGTACCAACTTGGGAACAGAACAAAACTAACCACAATCACAACTGAACATACGCTCAAAAGAAAACACAACACAAACACAAAAGAAAACGCAAACACAAAAACAATGCAAAGACACATGCAAACGCGAAAATTACAAACGAAAACACAAACGCAACACTAACACCAGAGGCGTAGCAAGGGGGGGGGGGGGGAACATATCCCCGGGCGCCGACCTTAGGGGGGGGCGCTAAATTGAAAGTTTTAGGGGGGGGGGGTGCAAATGAAAAGTTCGAGGGGGGTGCAAATCGAAAGTTTGAGGGGGGTGGGTGCAAATGAAAAGTTCGAGGGGGGGGGGTACAAATCGAAAGTTTGAGGGAGGGGGGATGCAAATCGAAAGTTTGTCCCCGGGCGCCGGGAAGGGTCGCTACGCCTCTGACTAACACAAAAGAAAAAAAGGACACAAACACAATGCAAACACAAATGCAAAGCAAAAACCGCAAACGCAACACAAATAACATAAACACAACTTAAATGCAAACATTTAAGGACAGTGCTCACAGTCTAGCCCGGTGCGCCAAATCACACCCTGCTGGGGCGCCGGCAGAACCTTCTGATTCAACTTAGTAAACAACTATAATACCCTAACTTATCCATAAAATAAACAAAAGCCAGTATTTAAAATATCCTTGTTTTACCTACCATATTGCACTTTATCAGTCCATGTTAATTATATTATTTCAATAATAATGTCGTCTTGGACTTCCGCGGAATTCGCTTTCACCTTTTTTAAATTATTGTGATTTGAATTTTTTAAAAATTACCTCCCCTGGCATAATTATTAAACATTTTAAGTATTTACTTTTTAAAAATTTACCCTGCTATTATTAAAATGTGTCAATTTTTTCCTGGAATCTAAGCTATAATATATCTGAAATAGTACTCAAGTTATAGATCTAGATTTTTTAAAAATTTAAAGAAAAAAAAGCACCACTTCCAGTTATCGGAAATCGCTCAAAAGTTGATACGGATCTACGATTTTGATATAATACTTATATTTATATATGAAATTTCATCGACCTTGTTGTAACGGCAACGGTACTCAAGTTATCGTGTTTACACTACAGACACACACACACACACAGACACACACACACACATACACACACAGACATACGGACAAGATTGCAAAGCTACGTTTTTCCGACTCAGAGAGGTGTAAAACGTCGAGATTTGCAAAAAATCTCTTTTTTTTTTTTTGCACGATTACAAGACTTTCTATATAGGCCTACTTCGTCTATACGAGAAAGTAAAAATGGATTAAAAATCGTGTCTAGATCTAGATTTCTATATCCTGAGTTGCCATCCCCCCTTCCGTAGTGTTATTATCTATACTAATAGTTTCGCTGTCTGTGTATCTGACAAGAACGCTCTGTCTGACAAGAACGCTCTAGAGAAAACACAAGCAATTTAAAAACATGCACAGTAATTCGAAAAACGAAATATGACGTCGACACATTTAGCGTAGAGTAGAACATAATCTCAAACCAGAGAGTGCACACAGTAATGTAATGACGTCATTGATTATCGCGTAAACATTGAAAAAAAGGAAATGTTGTCTAATCTAAATGGTTTGCGTAAAGAGTTTCTTGCATACAATTCTTCGGGTAGGGGCGAAGCCCCACCCCCCGCGTAAGAACGTCTGAGCCCCCCCCCCCCTCCCCAACTCAAAAGAAATTTCCTCATCGATACTCTATAATAAAATTACCGCCTAATTAATGTGTCTAATCTAAAAAGTGGTTTTCTTGCAATGGGACGGTAGACATGTTTTTTTTTGGGGGGGGGGGGGGGAGGGGTGGGGGGGGGGGTGGTATGTGGGGGTGGGGGGGTGGGGGGTGTGTGGGGGGGGGGGGGGTTGGTTTCAGTGTTTCTTTCAGACTTTTTCCTCCCCGGAGAGGGGTGGGGGTACTTGAAATTTTCGGGGGCGGGGGTAGAATTTTCTGGGAGGGGGCGGACACTGGAAAAAGTATATAATTATATTTCGTTGAATGGGACGGTAGACATGTTTTTTTGTGGGTGGGGGGTGGTGGAGGGGTGGGGGGGGGGTGGTGTGTGTGTGGGGGGGGGTGGTGTGTGGGGGTGGGGGGTGGGGGTGGTGTGTGGGGGGGGTGGGTTGGTTTCAGTGTTTCTTTCAGACTTTTTCCTCCCCGGAGAGGGGTGGGGGTACTTGAAATTTTCGGGGGCGGGGGTAGAATTTTCTGGGAGGGGGCGGACACTGGAAAAAGTATATAATTATATTTCGTTGAATGGGACGGTAGACATGTTTTTTTTGGGGGTGGGGGGTGGTGGAGGGGTGGGGGGGTGGTGGTGTGTGTGTGGGGGGGTGGTGTGTGGGGGGGTGGGGGGTGGTGTGGTGAGGGGGTGGGGGTGGTGTGTGTGGGGTGGGTTGGTTTCAGTGTTTCTTTCAGACTTTTTCCTCCCCGGAGAGGGGTGGGGGTACTTGAAATTTTCGGGGGCGGGGGTAGAATTTTCTGGGAGGGGGCGGACACTGGAAAAAGTATATAATTATATTTCGTTGAATGGGACGGTAGACATGTTTTTTTTTGGGGGGGTGGGGGTGGGGGGGGCGGTGTGTGGAGGGGGTGGTGTGTGGGGGGTGAGGGGTGGGGGTGGGGGTGGTGTGTGGTGGGGGGTGGGGGTGGGGGTGGTGTGTGGGGGTGGGGGGTGGGGTGGGGGTGGTGTGTGGGGGGGTGGGTTGGTTTTAGTTTAGAGAAAAGAGACAGCACTATCAGTCTAGCGCCCGTTGTACCCTTCCTCAACGGGCCATTTTTCTCGTATAAAAATATTCGAGACAGTTTAGGGGAGATCACGCCCAGTTTATTTGATAAAGTTAGAGATTCAGGGGAACCCACTCTAATTTATAGATGGCCGCCGTTTATGTATAATATATCAAATCTGGCTCGCAAACACTGTTGTTTAAAGTTAATTTCATAATTTCAGGCGTATTATATTATTGATAGATTATATTCAACCATTGATTTTGGACAAATTTTGGTTTATTATTCAGTTATCTATAATATTTGACACAACTAGATCTAGAAGATCTAGATCTAGGCCAATCTAGGCCCTAGGGCCTAATATCAAAAATCGGTAATCTATCGTTTTGGGTACGTAAAATCGCCCGCGACTAGTAATGTGAAAAACAGGTGACTCCTTAAATTTTCATAATTATTTCACATTTTGAGGAGGATTTGTGTTTTGAAAAATACAAAAATGTTTCCTTGTTTCATTTATGTACCTGTTTTCAAACAATTGAATTAAAACTTTTCAATAATAAATGAATACTAGCGATGTTTCCAACAGATGCAACTGTGCTTATTTACTATAGTAGCCATCTTGTTTAAGTTCTTATAGCGCGAGATCAGGGGAAGGCAACTCTATTTTACAAATGGCTGCTGTTTATATAGGAAATCCTGCTCGCAAACACTGCTGTTAAAAGTTAATTTCTTGCCTATATTGATATATTTAGCTATTGATTTAGGTTATTTATTCATTAATCTATAATATTTGACACAAAGATATCAAAATATACTTCTATTAAAGCCTTGACAATGAGGTAACTTTTTCGTACATTACTAGCCGCGGGCGATTTTACGTACCCAAAACGATAGATTACCCAAAAATCAAAATAATATAGATCTACTAAATAAATAAATAGGCCTATAGAATCTAGTAGTAGTACTAGTAGGCCTAAGTAGGCCTAACCTAGATTCTAGTTTCTATTAAAACCTTAAAAATTTCTTAGAATCTCACTGATTGGATTCTAGGTGTACTCAAACTGTAAAACTAAATGTATGTATTATGTAAATGGGTAATCTATCGTTTTAGGTACGTTAAATCGCCCGCGACTAGTAATGTGAAAAACAGGTGACTCCTTAAATTTTAATAATTTTTTCACATTTTGAGGAGGATTTATGTTTTGAAAAAATACAAAAATGTTTCCTTGTTTCACTTATGTACCTGGTTTTAAACAAGTGACTTAAAACTTTTCAGTAATAAATGAAGACTAGCGATGTTTCCAACAGATGCAACATTGCTCATTTACTATAGCAGCCATCTTCTTTAAGTTTTTTTTGTAAACTTATAGCGCGAGATTCAGGGGAAGGCAACTTTATTTTACAAATTACAAATGGCTGCTTTTTATATAGGAAATCTTGCTCGCAACCACTGCTGTTTAAAGTTTATTTCTGGTCAATATTGATATATTTAGCCATTGATTTAGGTTTATTATTCATTTATCTATAATATTTGACACAAATATATCACATTATACTTCTATTAAAGCCTTGACAATGAGGTAATTTTTTCGTACATTACTAGCCGCGGCCGATTTTACGTACCTAAAATGATAGATTACCTGTAAATGTAATGCACACACATTACATGCAACAGTTACAATGACATTGCAAGTAAAGTCAAATGAATTTAATTTTAAATGTTGAATGCTTATTATAAAGTATCCTTACATTTGTACATTGTTTCTACTTTTTAAAAAAATTAGCTTTTCTTTCAGATGTTCCTTGTTTACAAATAAAATATAAAGCATGGCATTTTCATTTATACGACCCCTTAGAAGAGTCATAACTAAAAAATGTGGGGGTAAGTAAAAAGTATGCGTTTTATACTCATAGATTCTATACTTGTTTCAGGTTATTTTTAATTTAAAATTTTCATAGTTCTTTTAATATAGGGCCCATAATTTCATGAAATGGGCTCATCTAAGTAGTTGAAAATCATTAGGCCTATATTTTTTTGTTTTGGCCCCTATATACTATTTAGCATAATTATAGCATCCCTTGGCACATTGAATGTTGAAACTTAAGTTGGACAGCCCATTTCTAGAAAAATGATTATATTGATGTGGTAAACAATCATTTTAAATTAATTTTAGTGTAAAATATTAATAAGCATTTATTCATTGCTCGCCTTAGATTGAGTTAGGTTTATCTGCACCCCTCCTTCGACATAGGCCACTGACAAGAGCTTTCCAGGCATCTCTGTCCTGGGCTCATATCTCCAACTGTCCCCAGGTGTATCAAATCTTCTTGGTGCTTTCTTCAATGTCACATCTCCAGGTCTTACTTGGTCTGCCTCTCTTCCTTTTGCCTTGTGGATTTTAGGTGAAGGCCTATCTTGTTATGTGTGGCCATTTCCATTTTCTCTGGAGGATCTCTTCTTTAGCTGGCAGTTGATTTGTACCTCATTTCTGATGATTTTAGGCCAGGATCTTTCTGAGGCATGCTTTTATAAATGATTGTATTTTAGTCTTATTTGTGGCAGTTATTCTCCAAGCCTCAGCTCCATAGAGTAAAACAAGTTTTATATGTGTGTTGAAGACCCGGATTTTTATTCCAAGCGTTAAATCCCCAGAACCCCAAACATAGTTGGTTGAAAAAATGCTCTTGCCTTGTCCTGTCTTTATTTTTATGTCTTCTACTGTCCCGTCCTGCTTATCAACATTATTTCCTATCCACTTTTTCTAGGAGTTCTTCTGTCAATGATATAGGGGTAATGCTTGATGCATTGACTTTGAGAACTTTACTTTTTCCTCTATGGATGTTTAGGCCCAGGAATGTAGAAAAATTAGCAACACTTTTAGTTTTATCTTGCAATTACTGTAGTGTGCCAGAAGTCCAGGTCATCCAGCTGGTTCAAGAGTGTCCACTATATACTGTTCTGTTTTTTGAAAGTAGGCAACCCTGTCTTACTCTCGTCAGTTCAGGAAAGGCCTCCATAGTCTGTTGGCCATACAGTACTCTACATTTTAGACCTTCATTTTCTATTTTCTTTGGCACCCCATAGTCATTAGTGCCTTAACTATATCCACATTGACTGTCTATTCAGGCTATCAAAGTGCTTCTCGTAATCTATGAAATTAATGTAGAAAGATGAGTTCCATTCTCGGATCTGTTCACTGTTGATGCACGGTGGGGGGGGGGGGGGGGGGGGTTATCACTTCCTTCATATTGTTTAATATTATTCTGTTCCATACTTTGCCTGGGAGGGACAGATATGCTATCCCTCTATAGTTAGAGCACGCACTAAGATCACCTTTCTTTTGGAAGTTTTATGAGTAGTCCCTCCTTCCACTCCTCTGGTGTGTGTAGTAGTGCTATGCTAGTTTCGATATCTGCTGTTGGTGCTTCTGCCGGTATAGGATGTATTCCAGGAACCTTCCAGTTTTTCAGTTGCTTAAGGCTTTTATGTATCTCTTCTTTTAAAGGTGGGTTACTGCCCATACAGAGATCACTTTCAGCTAGTGGTATGTCTTGCGTGCACTCTGATGTTGGTCTATTCAGTAGTTCTTCAAAATGTTCTGCCCATCTCTTCTTCTGTCCTTCCGCATCAGGTATTACCTTTCTATCTTTAGTCTTCACTGGCCTCTCTAGCTTACTGAAATTCAGAGAGATATCTTCTTAATTGTATTGTAAAAGCTGTGGTTAAAATGATGCAACAGAAAGTCGCATAATTTACCTACATTTTGCAAAGTACATTTTATTATTACTAGAGCTGATTTTTGCTAGGATGATCTACTCTTATACCCAAAATGAGGAGCAGAAAGCAATTAAATAGGAAAGTATTAAAGAGTTGTGTGGGGCAACTCTAGTGTATCAAATTAACAAGAACCCAGTGTCTAGGTTAAATTGTTATTCTGGGGCTGATAATAGAAATTTGAAACCCGGCTTGATCTTGCAGATAGAATACAGGAAAAACTATTAGCTCCTGACCGTTTAAAAGCCTATACATTTGATACAAAAGTTGTTGACAACACACAAAGTGACCAAAAGCTGCTTCTCTATACTATGCAGATTGTTCTAGCACAGCTAATTTTAATAAATCTAATTTTCAGTATATATTTGTTGATATTGTTTTAACACCAAGGGTATGTGGACGTCTACTTGGATCTGAACACACTTCCCTTTGATTTTTCTCCCCCCCCCCTTCCATGTTGACATAATAAATGGATGACCCCTGGCAGGTTGACCAGCCTTTTTTCATTTTAAACCTGAGTATGGCAAGGCTGCATGACCATCTTTTTGATAGTCATCAGTTGGTTTATGAAAATAACAAAAAGCTAAGATTCAGTAGACCTTCGCTTAATATTATTAAATAATCTTGAGTGCAATTTTGCAGATCACAATAGCCTCCTCACATTTTCTGCAGTAGCCTAGTCCGTACATAATATTTCCAAACAATCTATTCCCAGGTTACAGGAAATTTTTGCTGGTTTCAGGATCATTAGCACTCATTATTTATACACTACGTGTGTTATTTGTAAATGATGGTAAGTGGAGAATTAGATATTTTATACAATTCTGTTAATAAACACAATCTACCATAGCTTTAATCTTCAGTAATCCTTGTCAGCAACAATGTTTCTTCTAAGGATTAAGGGCATGTTGGCAAAATGTATATTGTGTGGTGGTTCTCTATAATGAATTGTGTAAGTTAATATTTATTTTTATTTGAGTTTTCAATTTAAGTAAGTGGGAAAGGAATGTTTTGTGATAAATGTAAGCCCTTAGAGGGGGAGTGTAACCTATTCTACCTGCTAGTACTATTCAACTATTGTGTGTCAGTTCAACTATGCTATAACTCACAGTGGTTAAATTCCTAACCTTAATATAGATACAAAAACAAAACATAATCAGCTAATCATAAATCATCTTGTCAACTCAAGTTTCCTGAAAGAAGAGTACAAATTATGTGAATATATAGGCCCTACATGGTTATGGAATGTTGAAATACTGTGTTCTTCTAAGGCTTCTTTTAATATGTTAGTAACTATAACTAACAATACTACTTATGAAATTTAACTAAAATCAGTTTTTGTAACATGTGTAATTCAGTCATATCAAGAACACACATGGTACCCAACTGGGTTAAATATAGTTACAAGCACAACATATTTGATAAGTAATATAAAAGTAATTAAAACACTCTACTAAGGCCCCAATCAAAGTTTTGCCAACCATAATGAGATTAACTAAACCTAAGACACACATACTATTACTAACACTATAAATTCAAGCTAGAATTATATCCAAACCTAAAGTGGACTAGTTTTTTACACATGATAACAAATCGATATGATAGTATAACAGAATATGATAAAACACACAATTAAATTACATATTTTTTTACAAGGGGCCTTAGAAATACAACATCACATTCAAGGAATGTGAAAGCAATAATTATTCTTATGTCATATTTGATCAGGGCACGGGTTTGCCCACACTACCGCTGTGCACGCATTAGGACATGCTGTTTGAAAGCCTTGAGTGTACATGAATTACTTGCCGTAATAGTGGGTTAGAAGACACTTTGGTGACCGCCCTGATGTCAGGGACATATTAGGGCGCTCTCTGAGGCCCATGTTACACTCCCACAGGGCCCCTGGCTCGTTTTCATCACCAAATGTCGTGTACCACTGAGTCAATATTATAGGGTGCTCTTTAAAACTAATGTAGTGGCTTGTTTTTTTTCTCAACTCATGGTCTGTCTCTGCACCACCTATCTTGCTAAGCCTGTAACTGCCTTGGAGTTTTGGTTTAACATTCGGTGTCAGACATTCGATGTAGAAAACATGTCCGTAGAGCCAGTTAGGAGTCTATTTTCTTAACCTCTGCTTTGAATAATTCAGTAATGCTGCTAAAAATTAGCTTTTAATAAATTTCTACCCAATTAGGCGCCCTCCCCTTGCGGTAAAGGTAATGTTCAAGTATGTGGTTAGTTGATAGCCACACATGTATAATAATCTCCAGCTTAAAGTAATAGCTTAGTTTAGGCTGGTGATTGACAAGTTTTTATTTGCCTATAAAAATGATACAACATATACAAGACAGTATCTGCAGTGTCACAAAGCACTCAACCAAACTGACACAAAATTGTTTCATACAACACACTAGCCCCATTGTGCTAGCTAATTAACCTTGCTGTTTTCATCTATCTCTGAGGGGTTATATCAATGATCTGTCCATAGAATTATTAAATAATTGCATGAATAGGTATTGCCCTGACACTTAGAAGGAGTATTGTTCACCAAGCACTTGAAGTATAGATCAAGTTGTAAAAAGGTTTTTTTTATTATTTTATTACGTTTTATTTTTTAATTTTTTAATATAATTGTAAAGTGAGATATGTTCCCAGTTTTTAAGTGGGGTTTTTTTTTGAGAAACATAAATGCATATGAAATGTTTATATTTATGAAACAGGCAGACAAGTGTGGGATGTAAAAAGTTTATCTTCTAATAGATCATGTAAGTTTTTAAAACTTTGTGTTAAACACTGCAGTTAATCATATCACATTGTACCATTGATCTTTTTTTGGTTCAACACCCAACAATAAGCTTAAAACAAGTGAAAACCATCAACATTTATTATTTTCTATGCATCTACAAAGCATATTTTGTTAAATGTATGACCCATTTATAGTTTCCACGCTAAAATATTTTACATCCATACTAAATATAATTTATTTCTTTGGCCACTTAGTCCTATTTAATAGCATATTTTTGCATACTCTAAAATTATATTTAAGGTAGAAAAAAAACAAAATATTTTTGGTAGCTATTGATAGTATTTGTTTCATGTATTTATTACAGTTAATAAGCCATCTTCAATTCTGAACAATTAGGTTTTAGTTTTCTTTATAGCTGTAGTGAAGGAGTGACTGCATGCTGGGATTTATTTTGATGTACTTGTTAACCTGTGCTATTGCTCCTATTCTTTCCTGTCACTGTGAGTCTTTGTGAGGGAGTGTAAGGATAGTCAAAAGTGTGATAAAATGACACATTCCTGTATTTACATTATATTTGGGGTGTCAAACTGATTTTTTTAAACGGTCCCAGAGCTTTTCTGAAAGTTGTTATGTCAAGAACTCATGATTCTAAGATAGTGGGCACTAAATTTGTTCATAGATTTATATCTCAAGTAGTAAAAAAGTTACGTTTTAAAAAGTTGCTTTTTAACTTTTTTTTTTAAACACCCTAAAAGGTGCCATGTTTGAGAGGTTATATCTAAACAAGTATATGACACAAACACAATCTTTTGAACTCAACACAAACACACATACACAGAGCGCAGACTCATTTTTTTCAAACCTCAAAAATAAGTAGGCCTACATTATTTTAAAATAATTACATTGAAATTGGCTTTTCTCACTTTTTGATAAAATAATAAACCCGGGAGTGATCTCCCCTAAGCTTTCTCAAATATTCTCATATAACACTACAGGTGATGGCAACTCGGGATATAGATGATATTTTAATCCATTTTTAATTACTTATTTTTTAATTACTTTAAATGGCTTTCAAGAAAAAAAACCAACCTCAATAGTGTGGGTCGACTTTGAAAAAGCCTTTGACAAGGTCTGGGAGCAAGGCTTAATTCTAAAGCTAATAAACCATCAAGTATCTCATAACATGCTAAACTGGATAAAAGGTTACCTAAGCAACCGAAAAGCAACAGTCTCCATGCAAGGAAAAAGAAGTCACACTGTAACTATAAAAAATGGAGTCCCTCAAGGAGGAGTCTTGTCTCCTACTCTCTTTCTCATTTATATAAATGACTTAAATGAAAACATCCCAAGGAGAGTAAAAAGAAGCATGTTTGCAGACGACCTTTCACTAATCAGCACAGAGGAATATATTGGTACCTCAAAATTTCGTCATCAAGAAACACTTGACAAGCTCGGCAAATGGACCAAAAACTGGGGCTTATCCATCAATACCAAGAAAACAACTTATTCAATCTTCACCTTATCAACTAAACATCAAAAAATGAAACTTACCCTAGAAAACCAAGAGCTAGAAAAAAATGACCACCCCAAATACCTAGGAGTCACTTTTGACACTCGACTTACCTGGAGAAAACAAATAGAAAACACACAAAGTAATGGGATCAAAAGACTTAATCTAATGAGGAAACTGGCAGGAACAGACTGGGGAGCAAATCACCACATCCTGAAAAAAACCTACACCAGCTATGTGAGACCTACGTTAGAATATGGTGCTTCGGCTTGGGGCTCAGCAGCAAAAACAAATATTAGCAAAATTGACAAAGTTCAGAACATTGGTTTGAGAATAATGACAGGAGCCATGAAAACAACACCCATAAAAGCCATGGAGGAAATAGCCGCTCTTAGCTCAATAGAAGAAAGAAGAGAATAAAAAATCCTCACTCAATACACAAAGCTAGAGGCACTGGAAAACCATAACCTAAAACAAAAACTCCAGAAACCCAGTCCATCAACCAGACTACAAAGAACAAGTTTCATCAAAGAAGCAAAGAATCTGAAAAAGAAATATGAAATCGAAAATATCATTCCTGAAGCAATAAAAAATCAAAACCTCTCCCCGCCTTGGATCTCCCACTGTCACTTAACCATTATTGACTCAATAGACACCATAGGAAAAAAATCTGACTATGATCTAGAAGAACTTAAGAAAATAACAAATAAACACATTAAGGATCAGTACCCCAGCAATACCTGGATTAGAGTTTACACAGATGGCTCAGCTGAAGATGCCACAAAAAATGGCGGGGCTGGCATCCTTATTGAATGGCCAAGCGGAGAAAGCCTGGAAAAGGCAATAGCCACAGGCAGCCTATCCGACAATTTTAGGGCAGAAAAAGAAGCTTTAGAACACGCAGCAAACCTCCTGTCAGAACACCCTGAATCACCGAATAGTCAGATTGTATTTCTTACAGATGCCAAATCAGTCCTGCAATCCCTACAAAATCCAGAGTCCTATATTCAAACACTTATGACAGCACTAGAGAGGCTAAAAAATACCTGCAGCAGAATTGTGCTGCAGTGGATCCCGGGCCACTGCCAGATCCAGGGTAACGAGATCGCAGACCAGCTGGCAAAAATTGGGGGAAAGAAACCACAACCGGAAATTTCGCTACACCCAAAAGAAATAAAAAGAATTATAAAAAACAAACAAACGCAAATGTGGTCTGTCACACACCCTCACTACATTAAAGACGACGGCTATTATAATTTAACACGAAAACAACAATACATAATCTTTCGACTTAGAACAGGCCACAACAGACTAAATCAACACATGCACAGAAAACTGAAGGTTGGGTGTAGCGAAATGTGCCCTTGTGGCAAGGCCCCGGAAAACACGGAGCACGTACTCCAGGAATGCACTTTGTATAGCCAGGCACGAGACAGACACTGGCCCCAGCCCACCCCTCTCAGGGAAAAATTATATGGGGCACCTGACAAACTGGAGACCACAGTCCGGTTTGTCCACGAAGTTGGACTTGTTGTCTGAATCCTCCACCATATTCACAATTAAGAACGAAGAAGAAGAAGAAGAAGAGAGGTTATATCTAAACAAGTATAAGACACAAACACAATCTTTTGAACTCAACACAAACACACATACACAGAGCGCAGACTCATTTTTTTCAAACCTCAAAAATAAGTAGGCCTACATTATTTTAAAATAATTGCATTGAAATTGGCTTTTCTCACTTTTTGATAAAATAATAAATCCGGGAGTGATCTCCCCTAAGCTTTCTCGAATATTCTCATATAACACTACAGGTGATGGCAACTCGGGATATAGATGATATTTTAATCCATTTTTAATTACTTAAACTTTTTAAAATAGAATATAATTTCGTAGAAAAAAGAATTGTACACCAAGTGAACACCAAATATTATTAGTACTTTATAAATTCACATGTGTTTTTTGAGAAATTGGAAATAGCTTAAATTACTTCCGGTCAACAGAAGTACTCAAGTTATGGGCTTTTGATAAATTGAAAGTAGAAAAAGTTCCACTATCGGAAATCGCTGAGAAGTTGATACTTATCTACAAATTTGATATAATACTTATATATGAAGTTTTATCAACATAGATGTAACGGTACTCAAGTTATTGTGTTTACAGACACACACATACACACACACACAGACATAAGGACAAGATAAAAATATTCAGATGTTCTAAAAAGATTAGAAAACTATGTTGTAATTAATTTTCAAAGTACACTGTGTCAGAAAAGTAAAAAAAATATTTGAACTAGGCAACCAGAAAAATATTACATTCCGCAACAAAGTTAAGTGGGGTTTAGTTCATAGGACAAAGCTGAAAAATTACATGGAAGTCTAATAATTGAACTAAGTTATAGCTTTAATAATAAATATATACTGAAGAAATAAACTATAAAAACTAGACTTACAAACTACAAGCTACATGTTTTTATTTTTTTACTGAACTATCAAGCCTCTATAACTTGCGAACACCAATTTTGAAAAGCTAGGGGTGCATTGTTAACGAAGAAAACTGCCATTTTATTCAACCGGGTCTAGAGCGATTTCAGTGATTACTGTAGTTGTGTGTTTTGTCGAGCTCGGCCTTTTTTTTACCATGCTCAGAAATGATAAGTCAATATAATTATTTAACAGAAAAAAGGACCACCTTTCTAAAATGCTAATAAAAAATGTATATGATATCAGAATCACATATTAATTTTCGAATTGTTTGGTATTTTTTAAAATATTTAATCTATCATGCATTTTTTACTTTCTCGTATACACTAAGTATAGAGAAAGTCTTGTAATTGCAAAAAAAAAAAAAAATCGAGATTTTTACAATTACTATAACTTGAGTACTATTTCAGATAGATAAATGAAATTTCACATGTAAGTAAAAGATCTAATTCTCTACCTTCTTTCAAATTTTGAGTAATTTCCGTTGACTGGAAGTACTAATTTACGCTATTTTCAATTTCTCAATAAATGCATGTAAATTTATAAAGTACTAATAATATTGCGCACTATTATGCACATTTCATTTGGCGTTCACTTGGTGTGCAATTCTTTTTTCTACGAGATTTTATTCTATTTTAAAAACTGTAAGTATTTAATATGGAGTTCCCATCCCCTGTTGTTTTATATAAGAATATTCGAGAAAGTTTAGGGGAGATCACTCGCGGTTTATTTGTTTAGTATCCCACTGAAGGTTATTCAATTCTGCTCATTTTACCGGTATTTGTAAAGAAATATGTGGAACTAGCCGACCCGCTGCATCTCTCTACTTTTCAGTTATTCATAATTTGTGAATTCGACACTACCAACGCTGCCACTGAAAATATTTCTTTAAAACACTATAAGTAGCTCGTTAAGGACGATAACCCCCCCTCCTCCCCCCCCCCGTCTCTGTTAAAGTAAACTCCACTTAGTTACCCGCCCCCCTACTTTTGAAATCGTTTCAAACTAAATTATCTGCCCCTAATAGTCGTCACTAAACCCGGCTCTGTAAACATTTAGAGTGAACCACAGCTCACCAGACCATGTAGGGGTGGGGGTGGTAGGGAGCGCGTTTACAGTTTGTTTTCTAGCGTCTCCCAGAAGAGAATTATATATATAGATGGTCATAAAAGGCCAGCGAGTTAAATGGGAGGGGGGTCAAAATCATCTGCCACTGAAAAACATCATCTGAGTGATAGTTTTCAATCGGTAATTGAAATATATTGTGTAATATCAACAACTATAAAAATTACACAGAATTAAAGGGCTTAAATTTTACTTTTTAATGGTACCAAGCTTATTACTATACGAGCCCTTTATATTGTAGAATCTGTGCAGTGAAAAGCTACTACATAATATATATAGGCGATGTGGGCGAAAGCTGCATTTTTTATGGCTGTTTGACATAGCTAATTATATCAACTTAGTGTACCTAGTTTCTATAGAATATTCGCTTTCCACATGTTTTCTGTCTTTGTGAGTTTTCATTTCATTCTATTTAGAATAGACAGTGATGCTTGTCGTAGTTTGAGTTTAATGTAAATAATGCTTTAAACTAATATTTTTATTATTTTTAAGGTGCTTTCATTTTATTTAGTCTAGTGGTTTTTTTTTTTTTACCCTTTTGTGGCTTTGTATTTTATATGTTTGATTACCCTCTCTGGTGTCAGTAAGTTCACAACAATAGCTTTTACAGCTAAATGCATTATTTCTATACCTGATTGTCAAGAGTGAGATCATTGGAAGTATCCATACTTAAAAACTCAAGAACTCAAACTGCATTCACTTATGACAATTATCCATGTGGGAATGGGCCATGTATCCACATTATAAAAATGTTTTATTTAAAAAAATTTATTAGTGTACAAAATATTTTATTTAGTAATATGCAGCATTATGATTGCTCATATACACACAAAATAGTAAGGACCCATCAGTTTCATAACCAGATTTGTGTTTCTTTTATCTTTACTAATTTACTAATTTTATAAAAATAGATATTTTAATTACTGCTTTGTTTAAATGTTTTTATATGTAGGATGAATAGCCTTTACAAACATTTATACTATTTAGGCAGCATAAATGTCATATGCTTCTCTACATCCATTGAATTAAGATTTTCCCTTCCCCCAACCAAACTATAATTGTTTCTTTCCTTAGTTTGCAATAGAGTTGTAAAGAAATATATATTAATATAATTTTGTGATTATTTAAACAATTTTCAGACCATTCTGTTGCATTCCATTGACTATCTTTGTACTTTGTTTTGCAGCTCCTTGTGATGTAAAATGTTTACCCGACCAGTTTTCTTTTTATATCAAAACTGGAGAAAAAAGTTTAACAGTTAGTAATGGGCCAATAATATGCTTTCAAGGAACTATGTAATTAAATTTTTAGTATTTATTTAACTTACTTTTTCCATAGACGTGTAACCATGTTTACTAAAACTAAATAATTTAAATGTAAACAATGCCTGCACTTGGATCATATTTATATATTTATATATATATATATATATATATATATATATATATATATATATATATATATATATATATATATATATATATAT